AAGAAGAAGAAGAAGCAGGACTCCTGGGATGAAGAACTTTAGACGCAGCAGTGTTTGGGCTGTGACAGGCAGGTCCAGTCGGCCCCTGAGGGCCGACGTCCTGCAGGTCGATGTAGGCCTGCTGCCATGATGGTTGAAGGTCAGGTCTGAATAAAACTCTTAAGCTCCGCCCACAAAGGCGCTGGAGTATTGATCCTGTTCTACTGTGAATTTGATCTTCCCTACAGGAGGTCCTGAAGACACAGAGCACACTCTGATATTTCTATGTATCAAGGTGTTGAATGTGATAATAATCATTAAAGAGGAAATAAAAACACTCCAGCGTCCTGTCATTTAGTCTCAGCCTAGAGTTTTAAACACTGACCAAGTCCGGCTGTAATGTCAGAAAAAGGCTAAAGGCTCAAATTCAACTCACCTGTGGGCTAAAGCCTAATTTAAAATCAGCGGAGTCCAAATAAAGAAAATCATCAACCAGTAAAGGTCCGGAGAGATTTTTATTATAATCCGTTACTTTAAACAGAATTGAACAGTGAAATAAAATCAGGTTTTTATGCATCCATGTTGTACATTGACTTTTTAAATATTTTTTTTTTAAATAGAATGTTTTTCCATTTTAAAATCTAACTTGTTTTTGAAGTAGAGAACAACAATCGTTCAGTTTGTTATATAAACAATTTCCTGATTCCCATGTTTTATAAAACACCTGAACTGAGCGTTTGTTATGTTTCTTTCTTTTTTTTGTTTTAATGTTGGCAGTGGGCTTTATGCTGCCCTGCAAGGCTTTAAACCTGGGTTTGAATGGAGACTAAGCCATTCTAAAGCACATATCAAGGTGCTATTTCTGAGCCTGGATCCATATTTATTTTTGATTCTCTTCATGGTGGAGAATCCTGCTTCACAGCAGCAGGTTGAGCCAAACATCCTCTAAATGTGCAGGGTCATCTTTGAGCACCATTTCACTCTTCTTTCACCAGTTCACCGCAGTTCTTCCAGCAGTCCACACTTCCTTTGCTCTCTTTTTCTCATCTTCTTCTCCTTCTTTCCCATCTCCCGGCTTGCCACAGGTTTGCCTGCTGTGTCTAAAAGTAGCAGAGGGCTTTACCGTATTAACAGGAGAAGCGGCCCAAGGGAAGTTAGACACTGTCGGTGTCGGGTCTGGATCCGGACCACGGTCCTCTTTTACAGCCGCGCTGGAAGCTGTTTCAAGCGAGGGGGGCTGATGGCTGGGTTGGAAAACACGTGACGTCATTATGTTGAGGGCTGTGGCTGACGTTTTTAACATAATATTGTAGGTCTACATTTGTCGCCAAAAACTGCCATTTAAAATGCATCGAAACAAAGCATGAACATTTTAAACTTTATTTCTTCTCTTTTAATCATTCAAAACAAACAACAGCTCCCAATCAACAGGATCAGGAATACTTGAATGAAACACGGCCTAAATATAGCATAAACTGAGCATTGAACGTCTTGAAATGGATATGGGGAATGATTTCATATCTGAAACAAATAACACACACACAAAAAAAATAACTAATTTCATATTTTATCACTAAATAGCTTAATACAGACATAATATTTAGTGATATGCAGCCTTATTCTAGCGTAGACTTCTTCAGCCACAGGACTACGACGAATAGGCACAGCATATAGAAATAAATAAGAAATAAATAACGCTAAATAAATGCTCAGCGGCAGTATAGCGGAATTAAAACCATTTCTTACCTCAAAATAGTCAGAAATACGTTTCTGCTGCCTATTGCTAGCCATGCCTAAACGAATGTGAGGTGGCGGAAGCTTCCGGGGGAGTAGCCTAGTTTTTTATGAAATATTAAAATAATGAATCATTAGTTTATATCTTATACACAGCCCATCATTTTAATCCCATATCAAACACAGTCTTTTAAAAAATATTATGTTACTCCACAGCCCCCCACCATGGGGGGCTGATGCTATGACGAGGGAGGCTGCAGCCCCCGCAGCACCCCCCTTCCCGTTAGACACGATAGTGTCTAAAAGAGCTTGCGCCGCTTCTTCTGTTACCCTGAAATCCCACATCCTCCGTCTCCTCCCACAGTGCTCCAGGCCTGCTGTTCAAAGCAAAGCCTACAGCCTCCGCTGTTCCTCCCGTATTGCTGCGCTCCGACTTATCCTCGGAGCTCGAGGAGAGAATGCGCAATATTATCATTAAATTCATAGGAGCAAAACATGCAGAAATTAACGCTTAATTTAATATTACATATTAAAACAATCCCCGCCAGCATCCAGCATATGTGCAGTTTCTGATGGAGATGAGAAATCTGCTTCCTGGTCTGTTGAAGTACCAATAGCTTACATCCAATCTTTTAAAGAAACGGTTTTAGTTTTTTGAAATATATAAGAATTATGCTCTAATTTGTAGTTATTTATCTGTTGTTACTATATTTTTATTTGACAAACCAGATCTTCTCGCCTTAGTGTGATTGCAATAGCAGATCTTGACCTGGCCGGACCGGAGCCTTATGCGGCCTACAAATGCGTCCTTCTTTTTGCCCGATTTAAAGGATGTTAAATTCTGTTTAAAGTAACAGATCATTAAAAATGTCTCCGGACCTTTACTGGTTGATGATTTTCTTTATTCAGACTCCGCTGATATTTAATTGGTTACCCCTGGTTTAATGTTTATAAATATTTATTTCAGGTCATGTGCTCCATCCAATGCAGATCATTGGCTCCACCCACATCTAGTGAAAACTAGTGTAATTGGATGAGTCATATAACGCAAACACTCATTGGTTAGCTAAAGGAAATCATCAGAAGCAAGCAGGTGTTCTTCAAACTGCAAATGTGAATTGTCTATGCCATGCTGCAATGTGGGATTCAGAAAAATATGTTGAAATGTCTGAAAGGTCGGACACAGGCGAGAGCGTATCGGGAGACGGAGACAAACAAGACCTCCCTCATCCTTGGCCCTATCTCAAAGAATTTTTAGAAATAGTTGAAAAATGAAGCTTTCAAGGTTACTTTATACTTTTATACTTGAAGTAGTTTTTGGAGCACATACTTTTTTACTTTTACTTGAGTAAAGATGTCAAGTTGATACTTCAACTTTTACCAGTGTTTTTAAACTGCAGTATCTATACTTCTACTTCAGTAACAAACACATGTACTATCCTCTAAAGATTCAGCAATAGATCATTTAGACATTTAGATGAAGAAGACTGGAATCAGGGATGTTAAAAAGCATAAAAATAAACCATAATTTAAACTTCTGCAATATAAACTGTTTATGAGAAGCTATAGAACTATAGGCTTCATCACATGTCCAGTCATAATACAGATACTTGGACTAAATGTTTATTTTAAAAAGGAAATCTTCTTCATTGTTTGTGGGAAAATCTTAAAGTCCAGAAGTTTTGGAAGGATGTTGTTGGGTGTCTATCTGAATAGTTTAAGGTGAAATTCCCATTAGAGGTTAAAATCTTTGTTCTAGGAATATACCCAATAGAATTTAAAAAATCACAAAGGACAACTACATTGATAGACTACGGACTTCTTCAAGCCAGAAGATCTATTGCACTTTGCTGGAGGAGCATGGAGGCCCCCTCCATGGGGCTCTGGAGGAAAAAAGCTGCAGGTTCACTCGGACTGGAAAAACTATCATACATTGCCAAGAACAAACAACTATGGGAGCCATATATGACTATCATAGGGCCTGAATGTGGAGCTTATTGATGGGTGTCTTAACTACAGTTTCTAATAATATATTGCATTATTTTTCTCTGCCTTTATCTAAAGGGTTTTTAACATAAAATAACCTGACTAGACAAATGCAGGTTTGAATGTAAGTGTGTATAAGTACATGTTACAAGGTTAAGTTTGTTGGGTCAAAAAAGAGAAACTTCAATAAAATGTTTATTTTATATATATATATATATATATATATATATATATATATAAAAACCTCTGAGCTTGGTGTGATTTAAAGGCCTAGCGGTGAACTAATTTATGTCCCCAGACCGGAGCTTATCGGCGGGGCGGATTTACCATTAGGCAATACTAGGCTGCATGCCTTGGGCCCCAAGTCCTGAGGGCCTCATAGAACTCTGTTTCCATGTATGGTTAATACAGCTATTACTTATTTGTGCACATTAATTATGCTTTCCCTAAAAAGCCATCAGAACGCTTATAATATTAAGTGTTTCTCAGCCCCCCCCTTCAGTGTCCACCATATTGGATCATCCATTTGCTGTACATGTTCAGAAAGGTCCAAACAGGCAGCAGCAAACCATTTGAAAACAAACGATGCAAAGAGCAGTGTTGCCAACTTAGCGCTTTAATATTTAGCAACTTTTCAGACTCCTGTAGCACTTTGATTTCTAAAAAGCACCTAGCGCCAAATCTAGGGACTTTTTCCTGCTACTGGAGACTTTGGAGACAACATCTAAAAGCAGCGAACTCTGCTCTCCAGAGCAAGTAGATTGGTAACCCCGCCTCCTGCTCTTCTCTATCTTGTCTGCTGTCATGATTCATGCAGCTATTATTTCATCCAAATGAAAAATGGAGAACAGAGAAGCAGATCATGGCTTGTCTACAGTGAAAAGAAGGACTGAGTTATTTACTTTTGCCTTTTTGGAAACACAGGAAGGAGCAATCAGCTAAGAGAACTTAGTGCTTGGAAAAAATCTTATTTCTTTTGACACGGCATTAAAAGTCAGCTGAGTACAAAACATAGAGGAAAACTACAAGAAAAGAGGGACAAAACCTAGAACAAATAATGGATGTCTATTCTATTAACATTTCTCTATCTGTAGAATGGGTCTGTTTTATGTGTTGTTTTCTCAGTTCGGAGGGGCCCCTGCCTGTCTTTGCCTAGGGCCCCACATTTCTTAAATCCGCCTCTGCATTAATCAAATTTATTTTATAAATGAATATTAATATTAATCCCCAATTGTTGATTTTTAATAAGCTGTGTGCTGGTGGTGAGCGGGTCTTATGGGAGCAGGTTCTGCAGCAGCACTGTTGAGGATGACCTGTGATGGCAGCAGAGATCCTCTGAGCTGCTCACATCGATCAGCCTCACATGCTCCGCTCTCCCGGATCCTTCTGGACCTGCCTCTCGGTACCGGTTCTGTTCGGGCCGCTCTCTGTCTGTCGGCCCGCTCTCTTTCCTGGTCTCGGTCGCCGCTCGCCGAACTTTTCTGACGGCTCGGACTTTTCTGGGCTGCTTGGGTTCAGGCAGGAAGCCAACAGGCTAGCATTAGCCTGAGCCGGCTCCGTCCTCCTGATGCCGACGATGCTGGAGAGGAACTCGGAGGCTCCGGGGAAGAAGAGGGGCCGAGCCCCGGCCGGAGGCGGCAGCGGCTACCCCGCAGCGGCAGCGAACAACGGCAGGAAGAACCTGTCCGGTACCGAGCCCGGCAGCCAGAACTGCTGGGAAGAAGGAAGTTCAGCTTCCAGCAGCGACGAGGACCATGGTGGGTAGCCGCGGTCACCGCGCTGACTCCGGCTCTCCAGCCTCTAAAGCTCTGCTGTGTTCTGCACTCAGGTGGAGGAACGATGCGCGTTGGACCGCAGTATCAGGCCGTGGTTCCGGAATTTGACCCGGGTAAGAACCGGAATTTAGCTCAGGAGAGACCCGAGGCGGCGTGGTAGCCTCGAACAATCGGCGAACAGAACTGCATCCTCCAACCGGCTGCTTCCAGATTAAAGCCGCCTGGTTGCAGCTGGTTCTGTGTGCTGGTGTTGAAATGCTTTTACTGGTTTTTTAGGCATTGGACTGATTTCCAGGGGCGGTCTGAGCTCGAACTGGGCCCAGCATGGAGTTAGAGATGGGAACTTTTCCAACTGCTATCACCTAGCAGCTTAGCTAACAGCCGTTTAACATGTTCCGGAGTTTGTGGTTTACACTCAACATCATCAATAACAAACATGAGCATCAATAAGCTGTGAAAACCCGGATTGATCTCACAGCTGAGTCTGTAGCTTCAGCCTCATTCCTTCCTCCACGTCATGATTCATGTTTCAAAAGTCATTTTAGACCAAATCTGATGTGATTCTGGTGATAGCTGGGGAACTAAATTGTATTTTCTGAGATCCAAAGCCTTTCCAGGTCCATACAACTTGGTTCTGGTTCTGTATATACGTTCAGTCCCATCCATGGCATCCAGCCTTAGGTGGGACATGGAGACCAGACTCCATTCCTCCGACCAATCACAGCCTATGACCAGGGATGGCGGCTGCTTTTCTCAATAATGTTCAGTTTATTTCTATAGTGCCAATTCACTTCAGCAATCAGAATCAATTTTATTGTTTACTGATTCATTGACTCTTCAGCAATCCCTCACATTAAGCATTCTAGTAGCGACAATGGAGAGGAAAAACTCCGTTTTAACAGGAAGAAACCTCCAGCAGAACCAGACTTAGTGTGAACGGCCATCTGCTGAGGCCGACTGGGGTTGAAGGAGACAGAAGCAGAGACACAAAAGGCAACTTTTAAAGACGGCACTTTCCAGGAAACACACAGCCGGGCAGACGAGCTCCAAGCCAGCTCCCATGTCAGAGGATGAAGAGAGCACATCCAGTCAGAGAAACGGGGCTACACTGTAAAACAGGCCGATCTCCAGCATCTATAAACAAAGGTGTTGATGGAAGCGGCACAGCTGATATTTCTCTCCAGGATGGAGTCACAGCCAAACAGGAACAGACCAGATGAAGCTACTATGAGAAAAGCAGAGAGAGCAGAACGTTAGAGATTGAACTAACAGATTCTGCAGAGTGGGAGAATAGAGGTAGAATGAAGCAGAATAATGAAATAGGGGTCCCTATGTCCTCCAGCAGTCTAAGCCTATAGCAGCATAAGCTTAGACTGCTCTATGCTCCAAAAACTGCTCTCCTCCAACTAGGGCTAACCTAGTCCGACACCTCGGCTCCTCTGCATCCCATATTTCAGAGGTTTTGGTTCATGAATGCGTCAGGCCTCCTGCTCATCTGGTACGTGTCTGTTTTCGGTCCCCATGACACCAAGCCCCAGCAGTGTCTGCCTCCTTGTTGGCTTTGGTCACTGCTGGTCTCCTCCAAGGAACGCTCCTGTCATCATTGACCAAAAACAATAATCTTTGGACCACAGCAGTGGAGGTTGTGAACATGACCCATTCAGGCCTCTTCCACGCCTTACCTTAAAGGAAAATTCCGGTTTTTAACACTTTTAGCCCATTTTCTGTAGTGTCCAGGATGAAATCGAATGATCGACACCAAAATTTTGACAATTGGTCCTGTCTCTGCTATTTGGCTAATTTAGAATCCACCCCTGGCTGCTTCAGAATGGCTTCCATAGTGCATGTCCGATAATGTCCTTAAAACAACCTTAAACGTTCTTTTTTTAAAATATGCTACTCACCGGGTCGTCAGCGCTGTTCAATGACGTTCCAAAAAAAGTTTCGTAAAGAAAAAACGTTCCTGTAGTGTTTTATTTAGCATTTTGTAAATCCCATTGAGTTCTGTTGGAATAGTCAATATCCCTCCGCCACCGGAAACGGAAATGGGGCCTGTTTACACTTAGTTGTAGTCTTTTCGCAAGGCCCAAGTGTTTATGCTTCACTCTGTGTACTCCGACGTCGAGGTGCTAACGTCTCTGTTAAACACTTTAAAAAACTCTGAAAATGGAATACGAAAGGTAGATTCTTGAGGAGGACATATTGGACTTTGAGTTTGACGGTAGAGGATACCGTCGCCAACTAGTGGTCTGGAGTGTGCTACGCTTCAGATTCGAACGGGAAGCGGAAGTTTATAAGCGGTTGTGATGTATCGGAAAAAATAGTTCTGGGATTTACAAAATGCTAAATAAAACAAGACAGGAACGGTTTTTCTTCACGAAACTTTTTTTGGAACGTCATTGAACAGCGCTGATGACCCGGTGAGTAGCATATTTAAAAAAAAGAACGTTTAAGGTTGTTTTAAGGACATTATCGGACATGCACAATGGAAGCCATTCTGAAGCAGCCAGGGGGGGATTCTGCATGAGCCAAATAGCAGAGACAGGACCAATCGTCAAAATTTTGGTGTCGATCATTCGATTTCATCCTGGACACTACAGAAAATGGGCTAAAAGTGTTAAAAACCGGAATTTTCCTTTAAAAGGTTTGAAGACATTCTGATGCTAGACCCGATTTGGTTCTGGAGGGAGTTTTTTTATCCAGAGGCTGAAAGACATGTTCTGCAGTCTGTCAGTCCCTTCCCTCATGAGGAGGTCTTCCACCTCTGACCCCGGAAAGAGTCAGCATTAACAACCAGCTGGGGTAGTGAGCCTAATGTGTAGCACTCATAAGTTCTGGTAGCACTAATCCCATTCTTGGGCTCACAGATGATGTCACCTAGATGCATATGAACCATTTCTCTGAAATTTTCTTTCCCATTGAACCATTTAATGTTCCTACAGACAGTATAAAAGTCTCTCTGAATAAAAACGGTTTCACTACAACCTGCACCTGTTTCTCCAGATGTCGCCAAAGCGGCTCACCTCAGAGACAACCTGGGGATGCTGGTTTGGATCCCCAGCAGCTGCCTCAACCAGACTCAGTGTAAGAGATGGACGCTAACCCCACGGTGAGGCTTCAGTTTAATGCTGCTGAGACTCACTCTGTGTCTTTTTGCAGTGGACGAGTACATCGCCATCGCCAAAGAGAAGCACGGCTACAACATGGAACAGGTGAGCGTTGTTATTCGTTCCTGAGCAGCTGCTGGTCGTTCCGTCCCTCCCTCTGAATGACCGGTCACAGCGAGTCACTTCCAGGATCGATCAGAATCGTCAATTTAACCAGCTGTTTAAAGCTTTGACGGGCCAACGTTAGCACATGACGTGGGAGAAGACGGGTCCATTTGGTGCGCCGTAAAAGATCCTCGGTAGTCAAACCTGATTTAGCTAAAATTGGCTGATTCTGGCCTCCATTTGGTTCCTTGGTTGGTCTGTAGTTTCCACCAGGTCACCGGTTGATTCGACTATTTAGTCTCCAATCCGACAGAAAACCATGGTGGACGGGGTGGTGGCGCTGATTGAAAGTCAATAGGGAAGATTTCCTGCAGGGGGCAGTGTAGCTCCGACTAAGATAGAGCCCAGGTCTATTTTAGTCGGACTACGCAGCAATTCAGCAGCAATTTCCTGGGTCTGACAGGAAGAGAGACGTGGTTACAAAGTAAAACACATCTGCTTTGGGGGAAAATCCCAAATAAAATCTGTTAATCTCACGGGGAAAGAGTCACACATCGCATTTCTAGTACGCAGGACAGACTGGAGCAAAAACAATGAATAAAACATTAAAATAGAAAACTTTCCCCATAATAGGAGTTCAGGAGGACAGAAAACTGATAAAGTCGTGATCCTCTTTGAGCCTCACAGAAAACAAAATAAGGAGGGGCAGATGGAGCAGGTCAGCGCAGCGCATCTCTCTCACCTCTTTAAAAGAGAAAAAAAAAACCCACACGGCAGCCAATCAGGGACTGAATGTAGGCGAATCTTTCCTCGCAAAGCATTCTGGGATATATCTGTTTGTCTAGTGACCATGGATGATAACTACCTTTGAAGGTGCATTTTGGGAAATCTCAAGTCCACTACTTTATCATCCGCTAGACGTTTGGACACTCAAATTCAAACACTCAATTCAAAATGGCGTAACCACGATCTAGTGATTGGGGCGGAGGTTCAGACACAGCCAATGTTAAGGTTGTATAGAAATAAGGAATGCTCTGCAGACGTCTTTAGGTGGCTTTAAAAAAAGGCTGTTTAAATTTAGTCCTAGAAGGACTTTTCATCATCCTCCCTCAGCTGGCTGGACAGGGGGAAGGATTTACTGAGGCCATTCATGCCACAGAATGCTGCAACTTGGCGCGTTCCTTCGGCTACCAGGGGCCACAAGGAGGTTTCCTATATGGCTTTCTCTGTGGAAAGTTTGGAGCCACATTGGGGAGGAAGACAAGAAAAAAAACATATTTCAAACTAACTAAATAAAAAAACATGTCAGCACAAGACAAGAACATATAACATGAGAAAAACATTTCAGCCGACAGTCAATCTAGTATAAGAGCATCAGTTGTGTGTGTATGGGTGAGTATGTTCAATTTGTCCATGAACGCTGCCCACAGGCCATTGTCCTCGATAACAGGGAAGTTTATAAACTGGTTCTGTAGTTATATTCAATTCTATTCAGTTTATTTATATAGCACCAATTCACAACATGTCATCTCAAAGCACTGTACAGTTCACGCATCCACAGGTGTCCGCGGGGAGGGGGGCGGGGTGTGCGGTTCTGGGCCCTTCCACCGTAACAACCAGGAGATTTTTGATAAGGGGCAGGCAGAAATCCAAAATACACTTTGAAAATTTTATCAATTGCATTGCGTGACCAGCTGACCAGATCCAGTGTTTGAATTTGGGTGATACGAAGAGAGAGCTCAGAAAAGACTAGATGCAGGGAGCTGGAGAGCAGCAGAAAAATGTGACCGCCTCCTTCAAGAATCAGAACAGAGAACAATTTAGCAGCTGTCCGTGATGTTAAGGTTCACCTGTGCTTTTATTGTGAAATGCTGACAGTCAGCCAGACCTTGACAGGAAATGACATAGCAGGGCTCGATGTTAACCATCGCTGGAGGCAAGTACTTTTTATTGTCGGGAGAGTACAAATTTCATTGCGATTGCCCACCGGGCAAGTGCAGTGATCGCAAAAAAAAAATATTTATCACTCAAAATTACTTTAAAATCACCGACATTCGATGAAAATGACACAGAAGAATGTGCAGGAAGGATTGAAAAGCATGTTAACACAGTAATGTAGGCTGGAGTTCATTATCTTACGCATGCATATACACACTAGGAACATATAAACTTAAAAAATACTGAATAAAAAAAATACATTTAAAAAACAAACATGTTTCATTGATATATATATACAAAAATGAATATTAGGAACTATATTTATCAAACATTATACTGGCCAAGTAAAATTGTTTCTGGGCAAATGAAATGTGAAAGTCACTTGCCCGAAGTCAACCCCTGCATAGGGTTGCCAGGGGTAACGGCAGGTCCAAAGCAGAGTATTTGGGAGGCTGGTGATTAACTAAATATTAAATAATCATTTCAGCCACTAAATAAGGTCAACATAAGGTAGTAGATTTAATTTAGATTTTTTGGGGCTTAATAGGGGGGTTGGTTGACCTCTGATTGAAAATAAAGATCTTTAATACCTCTGAAAATACAGCAACACGTTATCTTTATTTTTTTTATTTTTACAAAGGACCATTTTAGAAGCACAAACCTGCAATAATGAAGCAATCAATTTAGCAGCAGTCCATGATGTTAGGGTTCACCTGTGCTTTTATTGTGAAATTCCGACAAACGGCGAGACCTTGACAGGAATAGATGGCTGATAGACTAATCCAGTGGTTCCCAAAGATTTTCTTCTGGGCCCCCTTTGGATTACAATAAAATTTCCACGCCCCCCCCCCCAAAAAAAATAAAAAATCAACTGGGCACACACAGCGTTCAACCAGATATAATAAACCTATATACATATTTTGTTTTCAAACTCCACTGAAGTTTATTTCACACTTCAGGTTGCAACAAAACAAACTACCGTATTTTCACGACCATAAGGCGCACCGTACTAAAAGGCGCAGTCTCAGTTATGTGTCCCATTTCTGTATTTAACACACACATAAGGCGCACCGGACTATAGGGCGCATTTTTTATATACAGGTACATGTCCTCTACTACCTTTAAATACCTCTACTGCGTATTTAAAAATACAGCGGGCCCAAAACTGAGTATGACTGTGCTTTATTCATGTATTTATTAAAAAGTATTAATCAAACCTGCGAGCTGGCCATGAGACAGACACATCGCAGATGAGACAGCGCTGTGATTACTCCTAAATTAACTTAAAATCCTGAAACCTGCCGACGGAATATGTTCGCTTTTATTGCCGGTATCCTGGTGCCTGCACTGTAAATTATTTAGATGAAAAACACCTGCCAGCCGCCGCGGTGAGGCTGCTGTTGATGGGATTTCTGCTGTCGGTGCACCGCTGGTATGTGGGGGTCTGAGCGCCTCTGACAGAAATAGATAATCTGGATGAACTGACTGCAATTAAGTTTTCAGGTGGCCTTTCTCACTTAAAAACATATTAAAACTACTTTATTCCCACTGATCACAGCAAATATAGCTGCAAGATTTAGATTATTTAGATGAAAAAACACCTGCCAGCCACTGCGGTGAAGAGGAGGAGACCCGCCCAGAGGCTGCTGTTGAATTAAGTTTTCAGGTAGAAAAATAGAGCGGGAGCAAAACTGAGTATGATTGTGCTTTATTCATGTATTTATTACAAAGTATTAATCAAACCCATCAAAGTCATCATCCTCTGTTTCTGAATTAAACAGCTGCGCTAAATCAGACATGCCAGTTTCCCATTCTTCGCTGTCAGAGTCACTTTCCGTGCAGCGCGGCTCCTCAGAAATAATGCCGGCTTTTGCGAAAGCTCGAACAACAGAGCCAGCAGACACATTAGTCCAAGCATCTACAATCCATCCGCAAACGGTGGCGTAACTTGCCCGGCGCTGCCTTCCACTTATCCTGAAACTGTGGTCTCCGTCGGTCATCCATCGCTCCCACGCCGCTCACAGCCTTACTTTGAACGGCCGCTTCACACCGATGTCGAGCGGTTGAAGCTCCTTTGTCAGACCCCCCGGTATAACGGCGAGCACAGCGTTCATTTGATTCACCCTTTTTTCACATCGGCTGTGAGATGGGCACGCAGCGATGGTGATGCGTGGAAAAAAGCACCTGGTCTCCTCACATACACCTGCCTTTCATCATCTCCTCATCCATCCAGCCTTTTTCATTTGCGTTAATATCATATGTCATCAGAGCGCTGTGTCTGTCTCGCTGTCAGCTCCCAGATCAGCTTCTCTGATTGGTTGATGCGGCGCGTCCAGCAGCAAAACTTAAATTTTTCCATCTCGAGCAGCAGCAGCGCGTTGGCGGTGCGTCAGATGCTTAAACGCTCCCGACGTGCTGCACCTGCAGCTCAAAACGCGCTGCGGGACCTTTTGCTGCACCTATACGCGCGTCAACCATTGACTTTGCATGTAAACTCGCTGCTTCTGCTGCACCTGCTGGGTCCGGTTCACACCGATGTCGAGCGGTTGAACAGCGAGCACAGGGTTAATTTGTTTCCCCATGTTTTTCACATCAGCTGTGAGATGGGCACGCATGGAGTCACATATTAACAGCGATGGTGAGGGGTGGAAAAAAAACACCTGGTCTCCTTACATTCAGCCACTCTTTCATCATCTCCTCAATGAGGTGGTCTCAAAAGTCGCAGTTACAACACACATAAGGCGCACCGCACCATAGGGCGCACTGCACATTTTGAGGGAAAAAAAAGACGTTTAAGTGCGCCTTATAGTCGTGAAAATACGGTATACACCATCTTTACAGTGGAACACTTTTGTGTAACTGTATTTTTTTCATAGTTCTATACTGTAGATTAGAAGAGGATTCTTTGTTGTCTGTGTTATTTTAAACATATTTCTTTTTTTTTTATTTGTAACAATATTTAACTCTGCTATCATCAATACATTAAAAAAGCTTCTGTGCAAAATGGAGTGAAAACATTTAACAGCTCCCTGAGAGTTTTTTCTCTGTACTTTAATCCTCCCATCTTTTCAGTGGCTATAGTGAGCCTGCTTGTTGCTGTAGATCTTCTCAAATCTGGGTTGCAGTGTTACAACTGTCCATTATGCTCAGTCAAGCAAACACTGTTTTTTTTTTTTTTTTTTCTCCTCATTCATCCATACCGCTTACCGCGCCCCCCCTGCAATGGCATTGCGCCCCCCCTAGAGGGCGCGCCCCACACTTTGGGAACCACTGGACTAATCAGTCTATCTGCTGAGTTGTTTTCATGTCGGTGGGGGTCAGCTTCAACAGCTGAAGCCCCTCTTACTTGATGATGCGGTCCAGGGTTCATTCACTGCGTCCGAAATGCAGGGCGGGGAACTACCTGCTGGAGGAAATCACCGCCTTCGCCACGTGCTTAGTGAATGCACCAGAAGACCGCCTGCGCTAAAATGTAGACCGCCCGGCTCTGTGAGCCTTTCTTTGTTTAAATTATGATGTTGCTGGTTTGTTTTTGGGCTTTTTATTGTGTCTAAAATAAAGTTATCTTAAATTATTTCCATTCATGTTTGCCTGGTGCATCATGACACATTCAGACCCTATATAAGGGATGTCACGAATTTTTTCCGATACGACGTTAGCATGAATGATGCGGCTTTTATCATTTATTCTATGCTGTAGAAAGTGAGGAAAAGCTTCATAAATTAATATTACTAAAACACGGGACCAAAGTCTACAAGGATTGATCCCTGTAAAATAAACTTACACAAAAGCAGAGAGTTTCTATCAGCATGAAAATATCCGAGATTAAAAATGCTGGCCAAAAAAATCTGATATTAGATTTTTGCCTATTATCGGACCGGATCGGGACATCCCTACCCCTAAAATGACTCAGTCACCACTGGTGTCTACACTAATCTGTTAGTCATGGTAACATGGTTGTTTCCAGCAGAAAATGATCCTTTTGTTGTGGGTTTAAAATGTCCTGAAGATACAGAACCAACACAGGGCATGGAGTCGATAGTTAGCAGAGCTGATCAGTGAATGATCAGTGAATTGACCCAAATGATGAAAGCTCTAACCAGCTGGTTGTTACAGGTGAATATCATGCAGATGTCGTCTTTTCTTGTTCTCACCTCTCTGTTCCAATCCTCTCCAGGCTCTGGGGATGCTCTTCTGGCACAAGCACAACATTGAAAAGTCTCTGGCCGACCTGCCGAACTTCACGCCGTTTCCTGATGAGTGGACGGTGGAGGACAAGGTGTTGTTTGAGCAGGCCTTCAGCTTCCATGGGAAGAGCTTTCACCGCATCCAGCAGATGGTAGTAGAACTTCCTCCATTTCATTCATTTCAAAAGAAAAAGATGAAGATTTTTAGGATTTAATCTGCAAGGATTAGAGAGAGGTCATCAGATCCAGATACTTCCTGCTTCAGATGGACACTGAGGCAGCAGGTAGAAAACAGACCAGCCATGTTTTCAACACAGTGATTCTCATGTGGTTCTCTTTGTTCCTCGTGGTTCCTCGTAACTCTCATGGTTCCTAGTGGTTCACATGGTTCCCCATGTTTCCTCGTAACTCTCAGGGTTCCTCATGGTTCCATGTTTCCTGGAAATTCTTGGGGTTCCTTGTGGTTATCAGTGGTTCTCATGGTTCCTCGTGGCTCCTCTTAACTCTCATGATTCGTCATGCTTCTATGGTTCCTCCTGTTTCCTCATAATTCTCATGGTTCCTCGTGGTTCCATGGTTCCTCGTAACTCTCATGGTTCCTCGTGGTTCCATGGTTCCTCGTGGTTCCACGGTTCCTTGTAACTCTCATGGTTCCTCGTAACTCTCATGGTTCCTCGTGGTTCCATGGTTCCTCGTAACTCTCATGGTTCCTCGTGGTTCCATGGTTCCTCGTGGTTCCACGGTTCCTTGTAACTCTCATGGTTCCTCGTAACTCTCATGGTTCCTCGTGGTTCCACGGTTCCTTGTAACTCTCATGGTTCCTCTTAAATCTCATGGTTCCTCGTGGTTCCATGGTGTCTCATAATTCTCATGGTTCCTCTTGGTTCCATGGTTCCTCGTAACTCTCCTGGTTCCACGTGGTTCTCATGGTTCCTCGTAATTCTCATGGTTTCTTGTGGTTCTCATAGTTCTTCTTAGTTCTTGTGGTTCCTTGTGGATCTCATATTTCTTTGTGATTCCTCTTATTTCACATGGTTCCTGTTGGTTCTCATGTTTCTATAATTGAACTTCATTAATATCACACTGGAGAAATTCACCTCTGCATTTAACCCATCCCCTTGGGTAGCAGTGGGCTGCCATTGTGTGGTGCCCAGGGAGCAGTGTGGGGTTAAGGGTCTTTGCCCAGGGACCCAGAGTGGCAGGCTGTGGGAGTGGGGCTTTAAATCAGAACCTCTGGAACCCAATTCTAGTGGTTCCTGGTGGTTCTCATGGTTCCTTGGTGTTCTCATGGTTCCACGTGTTCCCCATGGTTCCTGGTGGTTCTCATGGTTCCTTGGTGTTCTCATGTTGCCTCCTGGTTCCCATGATTCCTCGTAGTTGTCATGGTTCCTCATATTTCCTGGTTTTTATAATTGTTCCGCATGGTTCCTTGTTGTCTCATGGTTTCCCGTGGTTCTCATTTTTCCTCATGGTTCTCATGGTTCCTCCTGGTTCCTCGTGATTGTAATCTTTAACCGTTAGCAGATGTTCTGCTATTTCATATTTAGGTGTTAATATTAGTTAGCTGGTGAACTGTGGTGCACCATTGCTTTAGAAAGCATAACCAGAGCCTGATTGCTGCTCACCACAGCCAGAATGCTTAGATTGAATCTGTCTGACGGAGTGAAGTAGACCAAAGGTTCCCTAAAGCCAGACATCAGGCGGAGTCATGAACCACAGTCAGAACCGTTATCCTCTAACGGTAAAGGCATGAAACTCTGGAGAACTTGGTGGTGATACCGTGACTGGCTCTGAGAAACGTGAAGGTTTATGTCCACCATCGGATCATGACCTCTAGCTGAAGAACTTCTTGGTTGTGCAAAATGATCCCAATCACACCACCAAGTCCTCCTCTGAACGGACTAGGAAAATCATGGAGCTTTGTGTGGCCTAGTCAAAGGAGTCTAACTCATCACTGCTGAGGAGTTATGGCCCACTCTGCTTTACAGAACTCAGAAACATTCTGGAGCCTCTTCAGGGTTCTGCTCTTTGGCCTGTTGGTCCGTTGAATAGGTTGTATTGTGTTGGTAGAACCAGAAGCTCCTTTCAGCTCTGGGTCGGTGCTGAAGTTAGTTCTGACAGTCGGAGGTGGACCTTTGAAGCAAACAACCTTTCAGACACGTCCTGTTGTTCAATGGTTCAGCTCACCTGCCCCTCATCGGTACCACACTGATGGCACAGCTCTCCTGAATGCTCAGACCAGAATGGATCCTCTATGATCCGGTTCTGGAACGTCTTTAGAACGTCTCCAGGTTGAGCTTCCATTGATCTGCTCCAACCTGCCTGGATGTTTCTAACCAGACTCTGTTGATGTTCTGAAGGCTGTCAGGTGCTGCTTGCAGTGAGCGGTCTGGTTCTGTGTGGTTCTGTCTCTGTAGTTACCGGACAAGTCCATGGCCAGCCTGGTGCGCTTCTACTACTCTTGGAAGAAAAGTCGCAGTAAAACCAGCATGATGGACCGACAGACCCGGAAACACAAGCGGGAGCAAGGAGACAGGTGAGAAGGTCAGCACAGGTAACCCCGCCCACAGAGGGAGGAACTGGCTGATGATTGGCTTATGTCCCAGCAGTGATGAGGAAGTGGAGAACGGTAATGAAAATCCTGCCTGTGACTTGGAGATGGACGTGAACAAGGAGAAGAAGGAGGTGAGACGCTGTTTCACTAATGTTAAACTCCTGCCGGTTTAACTCCTCATCATCTGTTTCTGTTTACAGCCCAGTTCTGGATCAGAGAAGTCGGAGGTGAAACCAACTTCTAGTCTTAAGGTGAGAAAACTTCTGATCTTCTAGAGGCAAAAAATCAGATCATTGGCCCGTTTTACTGGGAGAAATAAAACAAAGCCCTTTGGTTCCTGAGATAAAAGGTTAAAAAAAATTATCACCCGCAGAGTCTGAGCTCCGTGGGTCGGGGCGCGCTGTGGGTCGGAGGGCGCGCTGTGGGTCGGAGGGCGCTGTGGGTCGGAGGGCGCTGTTGGTCGGAGGGCGCGCTGTGGGTCGGAGGGCGCTGTTGGTCGGAGGGCGCGCTGTGGGTCGGGGCGCGCTGTGGGTCGGAAGGCGCTGTGGGTCGGAGGGTGCTGTGGGTCGGGGCGCGCTGTGGGTCGGAGGGCGCGCTGTGGGTCGGAGGGCGCTGTGGGTCGGAGGGCGCGCTGTGGGTCGGAGGGCGCGTTTTAACTCTGCGATACGATGGTGTGGATCTATGATTGCTGAATCTGGCCTCTGTTTGCCTCTTTGCCTGCGGGGCTGTTTTTCCCCTCTCCTCCTTGGTTTTAGTAGGCATGGCTCACCGCACCTTTCAGGTTTAAGGCCTAGTTCTGTGTGAAGGAAGCCGGATAGATCCAACCCAGATTAGGCCACAAACCATTGGAAGCAGCCATGTTGGGAAGAGGTGTGGATTATCCAGGTGCCCAACATCAGATCCAACTAAAGTTCTCTAAACTTGATTCTGTTTCCAAGTTGCTCGTACACCTGGTCGCCTGTTGTTGTGAAGCGCCGGGCCCCTGCAGGACAGCGGGGCCCATCAGGCTGGTTTTGTAGCTTCAGCTGCTGCAGTGAGATGTTGATGCTCTGCTCCCACAGATAGGAGGGAAGACATCCCAGCGGATGAAGAAACGCCCACCCAGAGGGATGTTCCTCAATCAGCAGGACGTCGTCTCCCTGTCGACCTCCTCTCCTCAGGGACTGACCAGACAGCTGGACAGCCAGCTGGTGTCCATAAAGAGACAGGTGTGCTGTCCTCCAGCTCCTTCCCAACCCCGCTGCTCCGCCCGCCTCACCTCTGTCTCCTCTCCTGCAGATCCAGACCATCAAACAGATGAACAGCGCGCTGAAGGAGAAACTGGGCTCTGGAGTGGATGAGTTCAGGCAGCCTGAGGTAACCATAGCAACCACAGCTGACTCATGGTGTTTCTGATGCCTTTGGTGATGCTGCTTCTGTTTTAGGCAAATCAGAAGTTCAACAACCGCTGGACCACAGAGGAGCAGCTTCTTGCTGTCCAAGGTACCCCCATCCCCCACCCCCCCGCAGGTCTCTGCTGCAGACATGATGCTGATGAACTGCTCCATTCTGCCTTCCAGCTATCAGGAAGTACGGACGGGACTATCAGGCCATTTCCGACGTGATAGGCAACAAGTCGGTGGTCCAGGTGAAGAACTTCCTGGTGAACTACAGAAGAAGGTTTAACCTGGACGAGGTTCTCCAGGAGTGGGAAGCTGAGCATGAAATGGAAGGAGGAGATGTAAAAGCAGAGGAGGAGAAGATGATGGAGGAGAACCTGAATGCTTGTGCAGCTGAGGACGATGAAGCTGCCAGTAAACCCAAGAAGGATGTAAGCTTTATGGTATAGGTTGGCTTTATTCTGAGAATTTCCCCCTCGGCTCCTGCTGCTCAGGGGTCAAACTACATTTAAATTTATAGGGTTATAAAAAAAATACAGAGACAACCTAGATAATTGCCGTATAATGCCATGGCAACCCAGACCTAAATTGAATGAATATGCTACTAAAATGTTTTAATGACAATACAAGGAAACATTTACATCATATTTAAATAGATAGAAATGAGAACAATGAGAAATAAAGATCTATGTACCTTTTCTTCTAGATCTTTATCCAATAATAAACAGAATGCAATAAAATATTTTAGTTTGATATAATTTAGGGATTCCTTTTGGTAGAAATTAAAGAATGTTTAGCATCATCTCTTGTGAGCTGGGAGAAATAAAATCTTGATAGTAAAAAAGTTTTTTTTTAGGCTTGGCAGAGAATGATCAGCCACATCTAGTTTATTAAGTAGTGAGAGCAGGAAGAGCCATACTGCTGAGGGCGAACCATCAGAGTGGAGTAAAGCGCAGACTCTGAGCTCAGACCCATTTCTGCACAAGCACAGCTGAAGGAGCAGTTTGTCATTCCGGGTTATCTTCTCAGACCCTGCTGCTGCTGCCATGATCCGTCGGCGGTCATGCAGAACGAGCAGCACTGCACGCCAGGTGGGGGCGTGAACAAAAATGGATGCAGCAGCACGGCTAATACTTCTGAGCAGATTACAGCACAATGATGCATTTAAAACGTCTGCCCGACGACCTGCTAATTTTTATTTAGTCTCATCTCGTTAACAAAAACTCATATCTATGACTCGTCATGTTTTAGTCATCAAAAATCCACGTCTAGTTTGTGAGTTTTCGCTATCGTCATGAAAAAAAGCAGAATCAACTAAATAATGTTGTCATCGTTGATGAAAACAACACTAGTCAGTTGAATTCAGTTTATTTTTAAAGCTCCAATTCACATCATGTTATCTCAGGTCACTTTCCAGTTCACCAGATCATCCAGTCAGATTGATTCAAAGTTTTCTATCTAAGAATAACCGGCTGGTTGCATCGATTTATTGACTGGAAGGCAATCCCTCACACTAAGCATGCTTGTAGCGACAGTGGAGAGGAAAACTCCCTTTTAACAGGAAGAAACCTCCTTCAGAACCAGGCTCGGTGTGAGCGGCCATCTGCTGAGGCCGACTGGGGTTCAAGGAGACAGAAGCAGAGATACAGAAATCACTAATGGAGGGAACCCCCACATCCATTTCAGGGGACACAGGATGGGACCATGACCTGAAAAATAAGCATCCTGACAGAAAGGATGAGTTTAGGTCTCAGGTTTGTTAAAGACGATCGTTATCCTGAAGGGATGAGAAGATAAAGCTGAGCTGATGCAGAGACGGCTGGAAGATTTAGGTCTGCAGAGAACATAAAACCATGTTAGGGTTGGTAGTTGGTCAGCTAGAAATATTCATATAGAATGGGATTAAAAGTTTGTTTTTCAAAGTTCAACCAGTTCTGCTTGTATCCATGATGGGTTTCAGATCATAGGTGGGAGAGCCACACTACCATCACCCAAATCTTTAGCTCCATACATTGTTTGTTTCTCTGAGATTCTGACTGGACGGATCCAATAAAAGATGACTTTCCACATAAATCTGCCAGAGTAGGAATCATTTCTGCAGAGTAATGGCGCCACCCAGTGGCAAAGTAAAGCCTCTTTCAGGCCCGTTCCCTTAAAGCATGATAAAAGCAAAAAATTGGAAAAAGCTTCTGGGTTCAGTCGGCAAGCCTACAATGGCAGACCGATTGGATCCTGGCTGCTCAGGTGGACCCATCAGAACCCGTCAGATGGGATGCATTTGATCATGTCAGCATCAGCACAGCTGATCGGACTTTTCATTCAGTCTCATTCAACTCAGCTGTGAAGCCAATAGGACCGGATGTGAGAGCAGAACCTACGGCTGGAGGTTCGTTTGGACCCTCATGCTTTAATGAGAGAAAACATGTCGGAGGGGCTTGAACAATAGAACCAACCCGTACGTGTTCTGATGTTCCCGGGTCCAATACCGCCTCAAGGGAACCGCACAGCGTCGAGGCGTGGTCCTAAACCGAGTGCAGTGTGTCTGAAGGCCGGACGAATTGGCCGCGGACTGGGAGTTTATCGGTACCAAAAGGTTCTGGTTGAGGCAAAACAAATTAGATCAGATTATTTTTTTATATCATTGTTTTTTTTGACAGTAATTTAATTTTATTAAAATGTTTATGGATCTTTACAACAGGGCGGTTGTGGTTCTGTTAGTGCAATGAATAAAATCATTCTGTTTTCCACAACCTTTTGAGTTGGACTTGAAGTGCTGAATGATGAACCTCCATGTTCTAGGATGGCAGAGGTCCACTCTGTGGTTCTGTATTTGATCTGGATGCATTCAGGTTTAGAACATCAGTGTTTTGGATGGGTCCAATTCTGCTACGAGAGCGTATCGGGAGATGGAGACCAACAAGACCTCCCTCATCCTTGGCCCTGTCTCAGAGAATTTTTCAAAATAGTCGAAAAATTGAGCTTTCAATTTATATAGTGGCATCTGGTTGTTTTTATTAAAGGTTACTTTATACTTTAAGTAGTTTCTGGAGCACATACTTTTTCACTTTTACCTTAGTAAAGAGGTCAAGTTGATACTTCAACTTTAACCAGAGTGTTTTTAAACTGCAGTGTCTATACTTCTACTTAAGTAACAAATGTGTGAACTTTTGACACCACTGGGAATTCAAAAGTTGTATTCCAAAAAGTTGTATTCTGAAATCTTTACTTCTTTGCGAGCAATTTTTTTATAGTTGGGATTTTGGTGGTTTGGATAAATCTTTTTTTGTAAAAATGTAGCATCTGCTGTTTGTATTTAAATAAGTATTTTATATTTATATTAAATTTCTGTCTGAATTCTTCAAAAGACATAATTTAAGCTGAATTTGCTTAATATAAATCATTAATTGTTTCTGTGTGGCCCATTGTTTAAACACTGCATCTGCTCTTTCACACAAAGGCCGTTCTTAGTCACCAAAATCACATCTGTATGAAACACGGAGGCGGTAGGGTGATGGTGAGGGCCCATTCTGGACCTGATCCCATTCCACTGCCGCTCTGACCCTGTTCTGGGTTTTTTATGTTGCAGGACTCGTGTCTTCCCGCCGACTCGGAGTAGCCTCTGCCCTCCAGAGATCCCGACTGCGGACCCTTCCCGCTCCTGGACGAGCTCCTTCTCCAGCCGCCTCCTTTGCTTTAGTCCGTCTGTCTTTCAGTTCTGCTCTGTCCTCTGTGGACCAGTCCAGAGTCCAGCCACGGGTTGAAGTGGACGAGACCTTCTGGCCACAGAACTTTATTGATTTCATATTTTGAATTCTTTGGTTTGTGTTTTGGACCCGCGGTGCAGAGAAGAGGTCGCTTTCCTGTCCTGATTATCTTTCTGTTTTTTAAAGATTTTTCAGCCTTTTTAGAGAAAAATACAATAAAACCAAAGTTTATTATGAAAATCGTGTGACTTCTATATATTTTTTTTCTTTTGGGTGAAAAGTTGAGTTTCTAAAGAAACCTATTTAATGTCTCCATCAGGGTTTGTGTTTTTTTTTTTCATATTTTGTTTCAGGACATAATGGTGCAGAAGTGAATTTATTTTGTTCTTCCATTTCTAGATAACTTGATTTTAAGGAATGTATGACATTTTCCCTCCGTGTTTGTTTTTAATGACTTGGCATCTTCACCTTTTCATAAATAAATCAGATTTTTTTTTCCTGATTTGAGCTTTGTATTTTGTCTGGTGTTTATGACCTTTGCTTTTTCATTTGATCTTAACTAAACATCCGTCATCGTCTTCCTCTCAACTACTGATAGAATCACTGATCCAACACCTCCATTTCTGAACTCATAAATTTCTGAACTCATAAAAGATTTTGGGTTTGTTTTAATGTTTTAGACCTCTAGCAGAGTGTATTCCCCCCTTTGTCCTGAAAATGAAAGGTGATGCACTGATATTTGTACCATCAGTTTGTGTAATATTGATGGCTGAAGGGATTTTAATGTCTGCCTAAATTATAATTTTTTTTCTGATCTCCAGTTAAGAAACACAAACCTGGTTCAGACGCCATCGGTTATAATCCAGCTGGTTATGTTTTCCTCAGTGAGGTTCTGGTCACTGTGGAAACTAGAAAAAGTTTTATTTTCTAATCTATAGTAAAAACACAAAAATAAAATTAAGTTCTGGAAAAAATTCACATAAAACTCCCAGAATTTGGACCTAGAAATCTCCAAAGTGATTCTGATCCTCCTCCAGAACATACGACCCGGAACCAGAACATACGACCCGGAACTAGAAAATTCGACCCAGAACCAGAACATACGACCTGGAACTAGAACATGTGATCTAGAACCAGAACATACGACCCGAAACCGACCCGGAGCCAGAACATACAACCCAGAACATATGACTCGGAACCAGAACATACAACCTGAAACCAGAACATACGACCCGGAACGGACGCAGAGCCAAAACATACGAACCAGAACATATGACTCGGAACCAGAAGATACAATCCGGAACCAGAAGATACGACCTGGAACCAGAACATACGACCCGGAACCAGAACATACGACCTAGAACCTGAACATATGACCTGGCACCAGAACATATGTTGCAGAACCAGAACATACGACCTGGAACCAGAACACATGCCCAGGAACAAGGATATACGACCAGGAACCAGAACATATGACCTGGCACCAGAACATATGAATCGGAACCCTAACATATGCCCCGGAACCAGAACATATGTTGCAGAACCAGAACATACGCCCTGGAACCAGGACACACGCCCAGGAACCAGAACATACGCCTCGGAACCAGAACATACGCCCAGGAACCAGAAAAAACGACCCGGAACCAGAACTTATGATCCAGAACCAGAACACATGATCCAGTTAGACGAGTGAAATATCCAAACAGTATTTAAGAAATCAATGGAACCTTTTGAATGTGAGGTAGTAGCTAAAAGGTATTCTATGCAAATAGAAAAGTGAATCCTGAACTGACTAGAAGCAGAAGACATTTATTTAATGAGCCCGAGGGAAAAACTGAGGTTTTTTTTTTTTACACAATAAAGACACCTTAATAGAATGCCAACAGATGTTTAATCTATTTATTTTTTCTATCCATTTTATTTTATTTTCTCATTTTAAAAAGTGTCCAGAGCAGAAAAATTAGGATTTATTTTAAACTTTGAACATCAGATACCACCAAAAGGTTGTTTTGATTGTTTCCTAGCAGGTATGACTGGGTAATAAATCCTTTGGTAGGAGATGAAAGTAGTATGAGGGAACCCAAACTGAACAGGTAAAAATATATATTCCGTTTTTCTTACATTGATGTTAATGTAATGAATGTGTATTTTTCTTACATTGATGTTAATGTAATGAATGTGTATTTTTCTAACAGGTTCCTGCTTTTAGCCCTGCTGCTGCTGCTGCTGAGAGACGCTCCTGGTGGTGAACAGCGCCCCCCAGCGGTGCAGTCCTGTCCCTCCCTGGAGTGTCCGGGAAAGCTGCGCCCCCTGATGGTATGCTCCTTTTCGGGCAACTGGGGGATTTCCTGAGCGGAAGCAGTGGAGGGGGTTTCCAGTGTGATCAGCCCAGGCCTCCCTGCTGGCTCTCTGAGGTGGACCCGCTGAGTTTTCTCCCTGGAACTGACAGCAGAGATCCGGATCGAGGACGGCGCTGAGCCGAACTGGACCATGAGGAGTCCGCCTGAAGCCTGGAGGCTCCACGGCAGCGTCAGCGGAACGACGACGGTTTGAATCCGCAGTGAATCCGCCGAGGAGGCTGACGTGAGTTTACCGCACACACACAGACGGAGAGACCGGGTCAACATGGGGCGGATGGAGCGGGAGGACGGGCTGTTCACACCCGGCTCTGGGTGCTTCGGTTCCGAAGGCTTTGATGAATGAATCCTGTAATAAGCGAGCAGAGCGGCGGAGCTAAAGAGGCTAGCCGCTCGCTAGCATTAGCAGTCCGTGTGTTTACATCCGCTGCCTGCCTGTGAGGGACAGACTCTGATGGACATCTCCTGTCCTCATCTATGTCCTCCCTGTTGGACAGCGTCTGTCTCTGGAAGCTTCTCGGGGGGAGGGAGAATGTCAGCTTTAGGTCACCTGCTGCATGAGGGGCCAGAGGGGCCTCTAACAGCAGCTCCATCATCTGGCCCCGTTCATTAAATGCATCCAGAAGAAAAACTGCCACCATTTTCAATCTGTAAGAAAATTAGAGAGATTTAATCTACTGACTGCCTCGATCAAGGCTCATCAGTTCCTATCTGTCTGTACAGTAGGAGCCATTCCTCCAATTTGCTGGTCTTTGGCTGGCCCTTGGCTGATCACTGGCTGGTCCTTGGCTGGTCCTTGGCTTGTCCTTGGATGGCTTTTGGCGGGTCCTTGGCTGGTCAGTGGCTGGTCCTTGGCTTGTCCTTGGCGGGTCCTTGGATGGCTTTTGGCGGGTCCTTGGCTGATCACTGGCTGTTCTTTGGCTGGCCCTTGGCTGATCACTGGCTGGTCCTTGGCGGGTCCTTGAATGGCCCTTGGCTGGTCCTTGATGGGCTCTTGGCTGGTCCTTGATGGGCCCTTGGCTGGTCCTTGGCTTGCCCTTGGCTTGTCACTGGCTGATCCTTGGCTTGTCCTAGGTGGGTCCTTGGATGGCTTTTGGCGGGTCCTTGGGTGGTCACTGGCTGGCCCTTGGTGGGTCCTTGGCTTGTCCTTGGCGGGTCCTTGGATGGCTTTTTGGCGGGTCCTTGGCTGGTCACTGGCTGGCCCTTGGTGGGTCCTTGGCTGGTAACTGGCTGGTCTTTGGCAGGTCCTTTGATGGCCCTTGGCTGGTCACTGTCTGGTCCGTGGATGGCCTTTGGCTGGCCCTTGGATGGTCACTGGCTGGTCCTTGGCTTGTCCTTGGCGGGTCCTTGGATGGCCTTTGGCTGGCCCTTGGCTGATAACTGGTTGGTCTTTGGCGGGTCCTTTGATGGCCCTTGGCTGGTCCTTGGATTGCCTTTGGCGGGTCCTTGGCAGGTCCTTGGATGGCCTTTGGCTGGCCCTTGGCTGGTAACTGGCTGGTCTTTGGCGGGTCCTTTGATGGCACTTGGCTGGTCACTGTCTGGTCCTTGGCGGGCCTTTGGCTGGTCACTGGCGGATTCTTCGATGGCCTTTGGCTGGCCCTTGGCTGATAACTGGCTGGTCTTTGGCGGGTCCTTGCCTTTGGCTGGCCCTTGGATGGTCACTGGCTGGTCCTTGGCTTGTCCTTGGTGGGTCCTTAGATGGCCTTTGGCTGGGCCTTGGCTGGTCCTTGGATGGCCTTTGGCGGGTCCTTGGATGGCCTTTGGCTGGCCCTTGGATGGTCACTGGCTGGTCCTTGGCTTGTCCTTGGTGGGTCCTTAGATGGCCTTTGGCTTGGCCTTGGCTGGTCCTTGGATGGCCTTTGGCTGGTCCTTGAATGGCCTTTGGCTGGGCCTTGGATGGCCTTTGGTTCGCCCTTGGCTGGTCCTTGGCGGGTCCTTGGCTGGTCCCCTTCAATTCCTTTTTAAACATCTTTGTACAAAAATATTCTTGCTGTCGTGATTTCCGGACATTAATATCTAAAGAGAAGCGTTATCTCCTGGTCAGAACCTGTAACTCAGTGAAAGGGGGGAGTCAGAGTAAAACAATATGCAAGAGGGGGGGTCACTGCAGTGGCTGGGAGTAGGAGGGAAGTGGGCTGCCATTCAGCTGGCGTTTGGCTCGGAAGAGCCATTTTGAATGGCAGCTACTGTAATCAGACCTAATCAGAGTCCGGTTATTGGCTCAAATCTCATACTGGTCCGGAGAGTTCTAATGAGCAAAGCTTTAGGTAGAAACCCGATCAGGAGGTTCTGCTGGTCAGAGGAGATCCAGATCGACGCGTCGCTACAGGAAGATCCAACCTGCTGTGCTGTACATCAACTTCTGGATGAATATCAGCCAAATAAAACCTCACTGGATGAATACTGACAGCGTGGATTTATTAATCTGAATAATCTGGGCTGAAAGTTCGGTCACCTCTGGAATCGCTCAATATTTTCTAGGACTGAGCAATGATCAGAGGCTGTGATGCTGGTTAGTCGGCCTGTTTTCTGATCTGATATTAATAAGAATTTAATGCCTAAATAGCTGATCATCTTCCTGATTAATGTTTAAATGCATCGAAATTAAGAATTCCCATCCTCTTTGAACGCCCCACCACAAAGGGGACTTTGATGCTCTTTGCTTTGAGTTGAATGGAATAAAGATTGAGGAGGACATGTTGGGCTGATAATCCTCTAGAAATTAGGATTATTCTATAATTCCTCCATCTTCTGATGGAAGCAGAACCCCCACCTGACCTGAGACCCTCAGTTCTATTTCTAGTCCTTAGGAAGAAAACTTTTTCGTCCCCCTCCCCCAAAAGGTGACGCCAAAGGTGGGGCTGCCCCACCTTTGGCGTATCT